GGAATAGTCACCGGAGCAGGGAGGGGGGGCATGTGGGGGGGGTTTATTATATTATATTAGAATTAAAAAAAAAAAAAACCTGAATTTTGAAGTTTTCAAACTATAAACCTTATTTTTGAATTGGTGTAAAGAATACACTTTATTTATGAATTTTTCCCATTAAATTTTATCAATAGCCCGTTTGATTCTTATTTTTCATCTATAAAAATGAAAAATATGACCGTTATGCATCAAATCAAACTATCAATTTTAAATTTTTATCTCTTGTGTGGGATTCAATAATGACTATATTTTTCATTCTCACGCTAGAATAATGAGAATCAAACGGGGTGCAAGTGTGTATCTGTATGCCCTGTTCCTGTAGCAGATCTGCCCTGGTAAAGCAGTGCAATTCTTACGATAACTAATGTATCCATTCGAGGTAAAAAAATTTTTTGATTAGGTAGATGCAAGTGGGGGTGGGGGTTCGGACAGACAGTATGATGATAAGGAATAGTATGAAATATGGCAGGCAGCTGTCACCAGCCCATTCCCCTCTCTGCCCAACCCTAATTTTTTTCTCCCAGCTCTCCTCTCCTCTCCTTTATAACCAACCCCCAACAGACTCAGATTCACATTTCACTTCGCCCCACCTCCGTTTTCTCACAGCCCTGCCATTATGTTGGTTCATCTTTTGTTCTTATTATCTCTTATAGCTCAGTCTAGCTATGGTGCTAAATCTACACTGCAGACTCTTCAAGTACAGCCTCAGTACTTCAACCCAAAGTTGCCACCCAAATCACTCTCTGCTTCCGATAAGTTTGAGGGTTCATCGGACCTCGTTAGTCTACGCTATCACATGGGTCCGGTGTTGTCATCTCCGATCAACATATACCTCATATGGTACGGGAAGTGGGCCGCATCTCAGAAGCTGTTAATCAAGGACTTTTTACTCTCTATCTCCACCTTCAACCACCGTGCTGCTCCCTCTCCTTCGGTGGCGGAGTGGTGGCGCACTGTATCCCTCTATACAGATCAGACGGGAGCTAACATCTCACGCTCTGTACTCCTTGCTGGTGAGTACTCTGACCATCTCTACTCCCACGGCAACCACCTCACTCGCCTCTCAATCCAGGAAGTCATTGCCACCGCAGTCCGATCAAAGCCCTTCACTGTCGACCACAAGAACGGCATCTACCTAATCTTAACCTCGGTTGATGTAACTATGCAAGATTTCTGCCGGGCAGTTTGTGGGTTTCACTACTTCACCTTCCCATCAATGGTGGGTTACACATTGCCCTACGCTTGGGTCGGAAACTCCGGCAAACAGTGCCCTGAAGTTTGTGCCTACCCGTTTGCAGTACCAGGTTACATGGGCGGTGGTGGTCCAGGGGCTCTGAACCCACCCAATAGCGACATCGGAGTTGATGGGATGATAAGTGTGATAGGTCACGAGCTGGCTGAATTGTCGTCTAACCCACTGGTGAATGCTTGGTACGCCGGCGAAGACCCAATGGCACCGACGGAAATAGGAGATCTGTGCGAAGGATTGTATGGGACTGGCGGCGGAGGTGGGTACATTGGGCAGGTCATGAGGGATAAACAAGGACGGACTTACAATTTGAACGGGAGAAGAGGTAGAAAGTTTTTGGTGCAGTGGATATGGAGTCCAGTTATCAAGGCCTGTGCTGGTCCAAATGCTTTAGACTAGTGACGGAGTAATATATATATACAAACACAAATTCTCATTGAGCGACTGGAGGCGGAGTTGTTGAACTTGACGGTGAGGGGAAGAAAACAAATTTCACTTATTTTTAGAGTTTTTTGTTTATAATAATATTTGTACATGTATAGTATATATTTTTTTATTGAAGGTTGTGTCCTTTATTGGCAAATAAAAACGAGTCTTCCATAGTTTTAAGCAAAAGAATAATTATATTTAGAGCTTGTTTGGGAGTAATTAAAATTAGATTAAAATTGAAAATATAGTCGTTGGAGTTGACTTTTATTAAATGAGTGGGATCTAATAACGGCTATATTTTTAATTTTAATTGGATTTTAATCATGTTCAAACAAGCCCTTAGAATAAGAGCAATGATACATTGCTCAAGTTGGATGACAAATGGGGGAGTGCCACCTCACTTGGGCACTCTCCTTTTTGTAAGGCTACTTGGACAAAGTAGCATTACATTTAGAATAAAGCCTCTTGTACATTGATTGATTGACATGAAGTTTGACACTTTATGTATTTTTAAATGCAAATGGATGGAAAAATGTATTTTATTTTAAAATTGTCCACACATGTCACAACACGTGGCACAATGTCAAATTTGATGTAAAATGAAGTGTACATGTAGCATGATTGTTATAATTATAATGACGGAACATTAGTGATGATGTTGAATAATAAAATTGGACAGATACTGTTCGAGAAAAAGGGATTCAAATTAAAATTGAGAATAATATAATATAAATTAAGGAGATCACGACAAATACTAACAGCAAATGCAGCTGTAAGTGGTCTTACAAAAAGTTAGCGTCCTCGATCAAAGGGTAAAATCATTTGTACAAAAAATGGTACATCTTCACTTATGCGCAAGTTGCGGAAGATGAGCTGAAAAGTGTTTTTTGTTTGGTAGAAGATTGTGCGAAATCGTATCAGAATTCTCTATATCACTTGAGTAAAGTTTCTGGGCATTAGGGACGGTGGAAAAGTTGATTAAATTCAATTGAATGCGCGGCAGCTGGTATGACTTTGGATCCTGTGAGTTTCTTTAACAGCCTCTTAATTGGTCATTAAACTATAATTTAAAAAAAANTGTGATTTTCTTTAACAGCCTCTTAATTTGTCATTAAACTATAATTTAAAAAAAATATAAAAAAAATTGGATAACTGAACTTTAATTTAGTTCCAATTTCATCATTAGTCATATTTTAAATGGATGAAAATTACTTATTTAACATGTAATAGATCTTTCACGTAATCATTGTGTAGTCTGACAATTTACAACTATATAAAAACGTTTTAAACAAAATACCTTTTAATCTTTTAATATAACTATTTTTATTTCAAGAATGATCATTTACATTATAGATGTTAATTAAACGATTTATATTAGTTTAGGGTGATGGTGATGTAGATGTTGGTTCTCAATTAATATAAACAATTTCGACATGTGGTGAGTTATGGTTTTAGGTAGAGAGAATGATCCGGGTTTAAAGTTTGTTATGAGGTAGGTCGGGTATTTTTTTAGAAAATAGGTTGTTAATTGAATTGCCTTCATTTAGAGGGCGATGAGCTCTTTTATTGGCACCCATTATGATGCGGCATTATGCCAGTAGGAAACAACCAACCATGTGGAGATGACCAATTTGGTGTTTACAAGAATGATGTTATTGGCAGAATAATTGACATAATGACTGATATAATATCACATGACATTCTATCATTAGACTATTTAAAATACATTTATCTTTTCAATTAAATTACCTCCCTCCACCTAGGATTCGATAAAGATTGCAAACGGGCCGAGTGACAATCTAATTAAAATTTTGTACAATTAATTGTGCAAGTTGTCCAATTGGTACAAGAATTTAACTTAATTCTCTTAGTAGCCAGAGGTCTTGGATTCCAATTGTTGACCCCAGAAAATGTTGC